GGTCCAGGATGGCGGGGGATATAAACGAAGAGAATGCAGAGGGTCCTTCCCTGGCCTTTGTGTTTGGGGGCAGCCCTGGAAGGGCCTCTAGCTGACCATTTGGCTGCTCCATCTGCGCTCCAGCAGGGCCCAGCTTTAAGCCATCTGGGCTGTTGGGTGAGTCTCCATCCTGACTCTGCCACCCACAGCCTCCCACAACCCCAGCTTCTCTATCTCATGGTGATTGCCGTAATTATTGTAATGACACCATTATCTTAATCCCCCAGGGAGAGGGCACTCTGTAGTTTACCTGCACTTTCCTTGGTGGTAATTCACCTGATGCCATTTAACCATTTACCTGCAATTTGGATCCCACCCCTTAGATGAGGGGGAAGGCCCTATAAGGATCGGCCATCTCCCTGGAGCCCTGGGGCCTGAGACTATTAGGCACCCACCTTGAGGCTTCAACAGCCCCTTAGGTAAGAGGGGCAGAAGCTTTTCATAGTTGGCAGCACCATCACAGAGCCCTGGGATAACTGTCCCCACTGCAGTACCAGCCAAAGGGTAAAGGGCTATCTCCAGGCACTGGGTGAGGGAAGGTCTAGAGAGTGTGAGTTATAGCCAAGTGTTCAAACCTGGCTCAGAAGGGTTGGGAGCCTAAGGCTTGTTCCCACACAACTGCAAGTTCCTCCCCAGAGATAAAGACTGAATTTTCCCATCAGGGAAGGTCACAGCTCTGGGGCTTCCCAGCTCTCAGGCTCCCCCCCCCCCCACACACACCTCCAAGGTCACTGATGGCTAGAGAAGGGATGTGGTTTAGTGCCAAGGGCAGGCAGAAGGTGTCCTTGGGGGCTTGAACCTCATCAGGACCAAGGTGAATAAGAGTGGCCGAGTTCCCAGGGGTCACTTCCCACAAATACTGGGCAATGGACACAGCCTGTTTCTTTAAGGTCAGAGTTTCTATCCCGGCCCCTCCCCCACCCCCAGGGGCTGATGGAAGGATTAGAAAGGTGGAGGAGCTTAAAGGAGCCTGCCAGGAGGGGGTAGATGAGGTTGTCCTCCCTAGAAAGACGTCTGGGGAGTGACTGATTCCTCTAGTTAGGGCTGGGTTTGGTGGTGGAAGCTGCTGACGCAAATGTGTCCTTTTGCTGGAACTTTTGATGTTCCAGAGGGAACTGGTCTAGAGACGTCAGGGGCCCAAGGACTAGTTCCCTGAGTTCTGTGTTTGGCCTTTCCCAATAGAGTCCTCAGGAGACAACACGTGGGATCACCTAGAAAATCATCAGGAAAGATTGGCACTCTGCAAAAGTGACAGGTAGGCAGGGACGGGGGTGAAAGAGACGAAACCTAGTTCCCAACTCCTCCGGCTCCATCACTGGGGCTCAGCAGGTTAGCTCGTCCTTCTGCCCTTCCGAGCAACCCAACTTCTCTTCTCCCAGTCTTCCCCCTTGAGCTTCCGGCGAGACTGTTGCTGAACCTGGAGTCCCGGGACACACACAGTGATTATGGGGACTCTTCCCACCCCTTGCACCGCCCTCAAAATTTGAGGGTGGAGCAGGGGGCTGCTCTTCCATTGTTTCTGAACTGTTTTTCTCCACTTAAATTTTTTTTGGGGTGGGGTACAGGGTGTGTGCCACCATGCTAGGTCCCCAGTTTCCCTTTTGATAGCTGGATCAGAACTTTGTACAAAGTACTTAGAACTAACATTTAAAAGTCCACATTCGGGACAGAAGATGCAGCTGAAGCAGAGAGCTTGCCTATCATATAGAGGCTTGGGGTTCAAACTCCCACACTGCATCCACCAGGCATGGCAGTGCGCACTTGCATTCAAGCCCAGGTCATCACCTGAGACATTCAGAGTTCGAGGTTAGACTCTATCTCAAATAAACACACACAGTAGGCTACGTGACAGCAATCCTAGCACTGGGTACACAGAGACAAGAATGTCATGGGAAGTTCCAGGTGAGTGTGGTCTATGCAGTGGGTTCCAGAATAATCAGGGCTACATAGTGAGACCTCTTGCTTTGAAACCACCCCCACCCCCACCACCAACAACTCCAGAAACCTGTGTTCAGGTCTCCTTTGGGGATGGGCAATCTTTCAGATGTTCTGCAGACCAACTAGGGGCTGATGGGCAAAGAGCCGCCCTGAAGCCTCCCTTGGCCAGGGTCATAGAAACTGTTTGCCTTTGGCAGGGCGACTGCTCAGAGGGCAGTCCAGCCCACAGCATCCACCACACAGCTCTGAAGGGTGCAGCTGGGCTCCTGAGAGCCGACTGGCAGGCACCCTTGTTCTGGCCCCACTGATCTCATGGGCTGTGTCTGTGCCCAGCCGCCTGCCCACCATGCTTACCAGCTCGTCAATTCCAGAGAAGGTGTGGTTCGCGTTGTCCACGGAGTAGATCAGCTGGTACACCCCATCGTTGGTCTCACTGTTTCCATAGAAACCGACACCCACTGCAGCACTACAAGCAAAACCCCAAACAAAGGTGATGTAACCAGCAGAGAATACACCTATCTCTCTTTGTGCACATGTGTGTGTGCCTGTGCACCGGGAGGCCAGGAGAGGATGCTGGTGCCTTCCTCCATTGCTCTCTGTATCATTCCCTTGGGACAAAGCCTCTCACTGAGCCTGGAGTTCACCGAAAGGACGATGCTGGCAGCAAGTGAACTGTCTCTGGTCCCCATCCCTAGCGCTGGGATTGCAGACGTGTGAGCTTTCTATGTGGCTGTTGGGAACCCAGACTCAGGTAGGTTCTCGTGTTTGTACAGCAAGCATATCACCCCCATCTCCTCCATCCAAAAAGTGCTGTCAGTCTTTCTTCCCTGTCCATCCTTGTACTGAGGATTGAACCTGGGGCCTCAGATAACATAAAGTTTCAGCTTCTGCCTGCCTCCCTCATTTACCCAGAACCCACTGGGTCCTGATTCATGCTTCGCAGTGGCTGGAACAAGCCTCCAATTCTGCCACAAACTGCATCCGATGTTTCAAAGTGGCTCCTTTGTCACCTCACCTCTTGCCTTTTGCTCTCTGAGATAGACACATGAGACAGGGTCTCATGTTATCCCCAGGATGGGTCTCACATTCCCCATATAGCTGAGGATGACCTTGAACTCCTGATTCCCTGTCTCAAAGTCTGGTTTCCAATATCACTATTCAGCCAGGACTCTGAGCAGAGTGTGGGGAGCTGGTGTGTGTGTGTGTGTGTGTGTGTGTGGTGTGTATGCTCTGGGACCCTCCCTCATGTCCTCACTGACTTTATGGTCTGTAACAGCCCCTCCCAGAATTTCTCCTTAAGAATGATCAGGCTTAGTTTCTCTTCTTTCCTATGGTGTCGTATTAATTTTAACCAAAAGCCAAACTTGAAATCCATCTGTGTGAAATTTCATGGCTGGCTTGAATCCAACATTCCAGCCTGAGTACATCATTTGCAATCTTAACTCTGTCATCCATCATATTCTATGTGGTCCTCCCTCCCAGGGATCACAGGACCAAATAAGCAGCTTCCTGAGTTCTCATCCAAAACACTACCTTGGGGGAAAAATAAGTGCAAGAGGGCACGTGTGTGGATGTGCGTGTGTGTGTGTGCGCACACACACACACAAACACACTGATGCTTATCCTTCCTTCCTTGAGACAGTTGTAGTCTGACTGTCCTGGAACTTGATTTATAGACCAGGCTGGGCTTGAACTCACAGAGATCCACCTGCCTCTGTCTCCCGAGTCCTGGGATTAAAGGCGTGGGCCACCATGCCTGGCTCCCATCAGTGTTCTTTGCATTCAAGCAGTAATACAACCCACGCTCAGGCAGCTCTGCGGTACCGTCCATCTTTCTCCACAGCGTCGCTAGAGGTGTCAAGTTCACAAGCAAAACATTCACATGCAGAAAGCATGCTTAAAAAATAAATTAAAAAACAAACAAACAAAAAAGGCGAAGCAATGGTTGGCTTTTACTGCTGATGTTCTCTTGCCTGGAGCCGGCTGTAGACATGCTGCCCAGAAGGAATCCTGACACCATGGCCCCTTCTGTTTTTGAGCTTTTTCTTCTTCTTCCTTGTTTTCAGTTCAGCTTATTCTGAAAACCTGTCTCCTGATTTTCTTTTCCATTTTATTTTATGAGCATGGGTGTTTTGCCTGAGTATATGTCTAGGCACCACATGTGTGCCTGATGCTCGCGGAGGCCCAATGAAGCGTTACAGCCCCTGGAACTACATGGAAGTTACATACAGCTGCTTGTGAGCCACCGTGTGGCTGCTGAGAAATGAACCCACGTTCTCTAGAAGAGCAGCTGGGGCTCTTAACCGTTGAGCCGTCTTCTCATTCAGCCCCTTGCGTTTTTCTTAACTATAGGTAGGTAATAATTGCTTATTGGACTAGACCACTTAGAGCCATTTTTACTTGCTACAAAATACACATGGCCAAATTACAATGGTGCTATTTGGACGCTGGGTTAGCCAGCATTCGATGCACTTTAACGGCATTTGTACCTGACAATAGGCTTATCTGGCAGTAATCCTACTGGAAACTTTGGAGCACCGGTAGTGTTCTGTGGATCCAGGGATCGCTGCATTGGAGCAAGCACTGTTGGTGTGTATCTCTGGGTCCCACCTCTCCCTAACCATCCTACACTGGGTAGAGGGTTTTTAGCACCCCAGTTCTTCGTGGGAGCTCTAGCTCGTCTCTGGTCAGATCACCTTCCCATCTGGGCTGGAACTCTTTCCCGTAGGCCCCGGCCCCAGCCACAAGTTTCCTCAGTCCTCGGTCTTAGTTCGCTGCTTTGAGGATGGCCTCTCATCTGGCTTTAGTGAGCCCCACACTCCCATCCACATGAGATCATGAACACGTCACCACATATCTTGGCCAAAAGGCAAAGAAACAGTGAATGAATACATTATAATAGAAAAGAAGTGTTCGGGAGTAAGGGGTCCCTCCTGCAGACTAGAGCCTAGGACCAACGCTTCCAACAAGCAGCAAGGGACTCTTACCTTAGAGGGTGGCCACACCCTTCAACATCTCAAGGGGCCGCTACACATTTGAAAAATTTCTACAGACAGAGAAACAAGAAAAACACAGCAACTTCCCAACAGAGGTTGCACACACAGGCTAGGTGTTGGGTGGGTGGGGTGGGCTCCCACACAGTGCTGCGAACCTTCATTTCTCAGTCAGAGTGCAGGAGAAGGTCTACCGAAGGGCATTAAAAGCTCCTGATCTCACAAGATAATCGAACTGATTGGGGCTACAGACCCAGGGCAGCTGTGGAAGGCGATGGTGACGCAGAGAAAAGAGATGCCCACTGTCACCTGGTCACCTCAGGGAGGGACCCATGTAGCTGTCAGGCCTGGCTCTAGTCTGGTAGGAGGGTTGGGGGGGACAGTATGCAGACCCCTATCACCACAGTAGGGACTGATATCCCATGCTAGGCCACAAATAGGGCAGTATTCATTTGGGGAGGCAGGTCTGCTCATCCAGGCATTAGCTTGGTCACTGATGAGGGGCCACATGGACATGGGGCGTGTCCTGGTCACAGGCGAGCTTTCCCTTGCATGTGTCTGTTGGGTGCCCTCTGCCCACCTGGCCCCTTGTGAGCTGAGTTGAAACCACGGTGTGGCTGCGCCCGGGACACTCACCAGCAGAGGAGCCCGGCCACCACGGCTGTCCAGGTGACGCAGCAGGGGTTGGACTGCTTGGTCTGCACTGTGTGGTCCCGCCGGCAGCAGCATGTACACACCAGGTAAACAGCGAGGAAGATGAGGTTCAGGCCCAGGCCAATGGCAGCTATCACCCCCAGGAAGAGCAGCGACTGAAAGAGAGGGAGGGGCCGTGTCAGCTTCTGGTCCAGCAACGGGGTGGGGAGTCCCGGGAGCCTACTGCATCCTCACGCTCAGCCCTCTAAATAAACAGCCTGCCCTCCATAGGTGCCAGCACGGGGATGGTGGAGAAATGGACAGGATCGGCGACGAGAAGGGTTGGCAAGGAGGGCAGCTGTTGCGACGGCTCACATTATCAAGGGTCTAGAATCAGCTAGGCAATTCAAATCTCTCTCGGTCTCTGTGTGTGTATGTGTGCTTCTAGATCAATTTGATAGAGGTGGGGAGATCCATCAGGAATGTAAGCTGGAGTTCCAGACTGAATATGAAAGGGAAAGCCAGCTGGGGCAGCAGCCTTCAGTCTCTCTTAGGTGACACTAAGAATCACAGATGCCGCCATACCTCGGCCCCACCAGGCCAGACCAGTTTTTAAATCAAAAGGCAATGTGCTTATTCCAAATGCTGGAGCTCTCCAGAATCCTCAGCATTCAGCTCGGTGCTATAGGATGGGCATAAAGGAGCCAGGGTAGATAGGGTAGCTAATCTGTGGTGTCCTCCTTGCTGTACCCTACCAGGGACAGTCAACTGACATGCCAGTGTAGCAGTAAAGTCAGAACGTGGAGAGGGTTCCGTTAGCAGCTCAGGGTTTTCAAAGGGAACCGTTGACTGTCAGAAGGCCTAGGTGTCCCCCTCCACCGCTTCTTCCAATCCCTTGATTTGGCCAGATGGACGCCAGATGGCCCAGGGATCAGTGGCTGTCAGCCAGGACTGGACCTGGCTCTAAGTCAGGCTCCTGAGCTGACAGCTTCCTGGCTTCCCATTCGGCCTCAGTCATGCCCTCATCCAGAGTGTCCCAGTGGGGGTTGCTCTCTCTAGAGCTTTCCTCAGGGAACCTGGGCGGGTGGTAGCAATCATGTGGGCAGAGATCACAGGGAGGCTACCCGCGGTGCTGCTGCGGCTGGTGGCTGCAGGCTGGGTAGACTGTATGGAGATGAACCCTATGGGCAACTGCTCAACTGCCCTGTATCACTTGGAGGATGCTGGCAGTTCACAGGACCCCTGACTGGGCCGTCCTGATGCTAACACTGGGTGGACAGGCTTCTCATCCTTAGGGACAAATCTGGAAGTGATGAGGTCAACCCGGAGGACAAATGAGATGTCTCATTTCACTTAGCTTCCTCTTCCATGCTGGGCAACACTCAAGCATGGAAGGGAGCTCCTTCCTCCTCCAGGGAGGTGGAAGGTGGGGCAGCATCTCTGAGCACAGCATCCTCCATAGTCGTCAAGCTGAGGCAGGCCTGGACCACTCACCTGCCCCTTAGAATGACCTCAAAACGCTCCTGTCCAATGAGACAGTGGGAAGTCACTGCCCACCTTCCTGGAAGGCATCTTCCCCTGCAGAGGAGGCTGGGGCAAGGGAGGGATGATTAAGGCTCCCCACACAAAGTCAGCACCCTGCAACTTGCTCTCTGACAGAGCAGGACACCTCCCTGGAGCTGGGGAACCCTGAAGGCCCACCCTGGACCTAGCCAGTCAGAGTCAGAAGTAGGAGGAGTTGAGGATGTGGTCCAGGAGGGGAGTGGTTGCCGAGAAAGCTGGAAGGCCAGGATTTCACCTCCAGCACTGCATAAAATTGGGCCCGGTGATTCACACATATAATCCTATGTAGAGGGGACACCTTGGCTTCCTGACAGCTTCCTGACAGACAACAGCTCTCCCTTTGAAAATTCTGAGCTGCTAGGTGGGCCTGAAGAGGGGAGGATCAGAAGCTCAGTGCCATCTTTGGTTACATACTCGATCTTAAGTCAGTCTGGGCCATATGAGACTCCATCTCAAAGATCAACAACAGCAACAGTGTGGGGGTTTGAATGAAAATGGCCCCACTAGGCCCATAGGGAGTGGCACTACTAGGAGGTGTGGCCTTGTGGGAGGAAATGCGTCACTGGGATGTGTGGGGGTGGGGCGGGGGTGGGCTTTGAAGGTTCAGAAGTTCAAGCCAGGCCCAGTGTCACTCTCTCTTCCTGCTGCCTGCTAAACCAGATATAGAACTCTTGGCTCCTTTCCCAGCACTGTGTCTGCCTGTGTGCTGCCACGCTTCCTGCCATGATAACGGACTAAACCTCTTAACTGTAAGCCAGCCCCCACTAAATGCTTTCCTTTATAAGAGTTGAAATGGTCATGGTGCCTCTTCACAGGAATAAAACCCTAACCAGGACAAACAACAAAATCCCAAAGAACAGAGCAAAACCAGAGCTGACCCCATGCTAACTGCATCTCACTCAAGTGCAGAAGCAACAGATTAACGTCAACAGGTGAGCCTTCCGCCCCCCACCCCGCCCATCCTGCCACACACCCCAGTATTCAGCTTCTTCATGAAATTGACTCACTCTTCAGGACACACAGAGCCTTGGGGGTGCAATTACCACTGTTGGGTTTGTTTGTTTGTTTGTTTAATGTGCACTGATGTTTTGCCATGAGTATTAGGTACCCTGGAACTGGAACTATAGAAAATTGTGAGCTGCCATGTGGGTGCTGGGAATTGAACCTGAGTCCTCTGGAAGAGCAGTCAGTGCTCTTAACAATTGAGCCATCTCTCCAGCCCCACCACTGTTGGCTTTTAAACTTAATTATTTTTTATTTTTAGGTAGGGTCTCTGATGAAGGAAGCAGTTTGTTGGTTCCCAGTTGCTCAGCCCCGAAATAAACATACAGAAACTATATTATTTAAATCACTGTTTGGCTCATTAGCTCTAGCCTCTTAGTGGTTAACTCTTATATCTTTGACCCATCTCTATTAATCTGTGTATCGCCACATGGCTGTGGCTTACTGGATAAAGTTCCGTCCATCTGTCTCCTGCAGGGCTACATGGCTTCTCTCTGACTCTGCCTCCTTTCTCCCAGCATTCAGTTTAGTTTTCCGCATCTACCTCTATTCCCCACGCAGGCCCAAGACAGTTTTCTTTATTAACCAATGGTATTCGCAGCAGACAGAGGGGACTCCCACATCAGCTCTCCACACTTGAGTCCTTGAGCTCACTGTGTAGCCCAGTTTTACCTAGTCCTGTTGGTGTCCCTCTCTTGTAAGTGCTAGGATGATGTGTTCCTACCACATCCAGCTCTAGAAATGACATTCTGTGGCTGGACATGGCGGCACAGATCTGTGCCCATCATCCTAGCAATCAAGGAAGTAAGGCTGGCCTGGACTTCAGAATGAGATTTTGTTTCCAAAAACTAAAAGTAAGCCCCACCTCACTCTTTTCTCACAAGCCCTGAAATCTCACCACCAAGAAACAGGCATTCCCCCTGGACAACCTGCAAGCCACTGTGTGTCTATATGCACCATGACCCAGCATCTCTACTTCATAGAGAGGAGGGGTGTGTCACCCCCACAAGATCCACATACAAAAGTCCACAGTCACTCAGCTCAGCGGTAGTCAGCAAACACTGGAAACGGCACTTAGCACACGCCTGGTGCTGGAGTCATATGATGGAACACTACACAGGCATGAGAGGGTACCAGCAGCTACGTATGATATGGGTAAACCTAACAGAGTAGGGAAGGGGCAACAGACCATACTCAGTGCCGTCAGAGGTGATCACCTGTGGCAACTGAGGTGGAGGCGGATGCCACAGTGCCTTGGGTAGTCAAGGGTACACTTGGCCAGGATAATGTATTACATACAAGGTGAGGGCTGCGGAGAGGATTTGGTGGTAAGAATACTTGCCGACCAGTATGGAGACTTGAGTTTGGATCCTGGCTCCCACTGAAAAGTCTGAGTATGGTCATATACATGCACACACGCATGCGTGCACACACACGCGCACACACACACACACATAACCTGTAACCCCAGATCTATGGAGGGAAGACAGGAAGGAGGCTTGTTGGCTCCCCCACCTTGTTCCAAACACAGTGACAGACCCTGTCTCATGGAAGTAGCGCTGAGTATGATGGAGCCAGACATCTAATGTCTCCTTCTGTCCTCCATGTATGAAAAGGCATGTGCATATGCACACATGTGTGTATCCATCACCACACACACAGACACAGTTTTTAAAATAAGAAAATTATCCAGGTGGTGGTGGTGCACACCTTTAATCCCAGCACTCATGAGACAGAGGCAGGCAGATCTCTGTAAGTTCGAGGCCAGCCTGGTCTACAAAGTGAGTTCCAGGACGGAACTACACGGTTACACAGAGAACCCTGTCTTGGGAGACAGGGGGATTGATTAAGCTGAAGAGTTAAGAATAGACATATTGCATTAAGTTATAATGAATAAATATATAATTTACATTTTTATTACATTTATTTAGTTAAGTGTGGGGGCACACACATGCCATGCCTCTAGTGTGGGAGTCAGAGGACAACTTTAGGGTGTCAGTTCTCATCTTATGCAGTGTGGACCACGGGTACTGAATTCACATCATCAGGCTTGGTGGCAAGTGTCTTTACTCTCTGAGCCATTTCACCGGCCCCAGAAGGTATTTTCAATAGTAATGACTGGTGTTGCCCAGCTAATGACCCAGCTACCTTCACTCCCAGGAGGGTCTCCTCTGTGGTCCCCCCAAGCAGAAGGAACCATTGACTCTACCAGGTGTCCCCACCCAGTCTCTATAAACCTGACCCACCAGCTCTCCACAGCTGGTTGCTGGATTTCTGATTCCTGGAAATTATGAGCCTAGCTTTCCTGCGGGGCCCTGAACTCCTGAGCCCAGATTTCCTGGACAGCTCTGGGTCTGGGCCCTCTCCAGGCCAGGCAGTTAGCCTCATTAGGTCAATGTATAACAGGTCAGGGAAAAATGGCTGTGAATAGGAAGCCCACATATAGGTGGGGTAGGGCCTGTTAGTTGTTCACCCCATGAGTCCTAGGCACTAAAGGAGGAGCTGGAAACTGGGCTGTCCATGGGCCAAGGACCAAGGGACAGAAAGGAAAGGAAATTAGGAAAGAGAGAGGGGGTGGGGAAGACAGAGGGAGCATAGCCAACGTGGTGCC